GCGGCGCGGAGAATTTGATGGACATTCTGGGGCTTGAGGAGGCCGATCTTGTGCCGATCGACCCTGGCGCCACGGCGGAGAGCGGCGCGGATGCGGACAGATTGTGGGACTCGCATGGCTTCTCGGAGGAGATTTATCGACACGCCGTGGCCGCCACGGGCGCGGCAAAGAGCCACGTGGCGCAGGGCGAGCAGGTGGCGCCACATCATGTGTCGGCCAGTGCGAGCGGGATCACGGGGAATGGAGCGGCAGAGAGTGACGTGGATGTGGACGGATTGTGGGAGAACATTCATTGGCAAACCGCGCTGGCAGCAGACACTGCGGTAGCTGGCCACGTGGCGGAGCATGGGGCCGCCCACGTGGCAGAGCATGGGGCGGAGGAGCAGCTGCCGGCGTTGAATCTCCCCGAAGGCATCTCCATCGACGACTTCCTCGAAGATGCGCTTGTCGCCGACGACCTCCACGCCATCCACGCCGCCCTCCCTGCTGCTGCCGCCAGCCCCACCGCCGCTTTTGCTGCGCCGGGTGCGCTTGCAGTGGCGGCACCGGCTGTTGCCGTTGCTGGCGCAGCCCCCGAAGTGGCAGCCCCCGAAGTGGCAGCCCCCGAAGTGGCAGCCCCCGAAGTGGCAGCGCGAGTGGCACTCAGAGCAGTGCCTGCAGCGGCGGTACCCGCGGGGCTGGCTGCGCCCGTGCGACCAGCGCGGGCAGCAGGCGCACCCACCATCGCATCGGCCGTTGCAGCGCTGGCCATGGCCAAAGCGGCACAGAGCACGGCCACCGCATCAGCACCAGCAGGAGCAACAAGGGGAGGATTTGCACTGCTCCATACCGCTTTCAATCCCGATCATGCTCCCCTCGCTGGCGCCACTGCCACGAGAGTGCAGGTGCGGCCGAGGTCGCGGCCTGTGCGCGCCGCTGCTGCCGTCATGCCGGCCGCTGGCGCGTCCATGGTGGGGCGGCGCGGGCGCACGCAGGTGTTCAACGCGCCGCGGCTGGCAGGTGCCAGGGGGGGAGCATGGCTGGCGGGTGGTGGCAGTCGGAGCAGCGGCGCGCTGTCGCTGAATATGGGAGCGCGCCCTGCGCCTCGTGCACACGTGCACGCGCAGGTATTGCAAATGTTCAATCAGTGGCGCTTTCTGTGTTCCCCATTTTTCAACCTTCGGGCGTTGTCTGTTTCTTTCCTGGGTATCTTTTCTCTCTTTCTCGCACCCCCTTTCTCCAGCAGCCCGTGCCGTGTTCTTGACCTTTCCACGTCTTCCTCCTCTCTGTCTCTCTGAATTAGGCCAATGGAAATGTGGATGATGAGGACTATCTGATGGGTGCCCTAGAGTGGTCTGGGGGGATGGATCAGCATGAGGGCATGGTAGCAGCAACACCCGTAGCAGCAACACCCGTAGCAGCAACACCCATAGCTGTGTTTGATGCCGGGGGTCTGGATACACACGTGGAGCTCAGCGCTTTTGAAGGTACACCGTGCTACCCACCACCACCGTCGTCCACCACTCTCATGTGCCTTCATACCCAGTTACTCTCATCCCTTGTGTCATGATGGTTTCTCACGCCTCTGCTGTGTTCCCGGGAGGCCTTTGCTGCTCCATTGTTCTCTTTGGCGGTCGCTGATGGGCCTTTGGCTCTTTGTGTCCGTGTCGCCCGCGTTGTCCGTGTGGCAGGTGTCTTGAGGCATGTGGGCCTTGAAGACGTTGAAGGGGATGGTCCTCGCACAGTACAGCAACCTGCTCACAATCGAGCTCAATCTCACGCTCACTCTCATGATGCTGCTGCTGTCTTTGCTCCTGCTGCTGGCGCTACTGATGCCGCTGCTGGCGCCACTGGTGCTGCTGCCAACGGTACATTTGGTGGTCCTGCTGCTGGACTGCCAGGTGTGTTGAGGGTGGTGGGGGAAGTGGAGGGAGGGGTTCCGATGCCGTTTGTGCCACAGCATGTTGCAATGGACGCCTGTGTGGCACATGGGGTAAGGATGCTGCCCCTGCCAGGCTGTGTTCCCCTAGTGGGTGCGCCTATACCTGGTGTTCATCTAGCGGGAATGCCTATTGCTGGTGTTCCTGTAATGGTTTCTCCTAGAGCTAATCGCGTGTTGGAGCCCCCTGTTCCTGGTGCTCCTGCCAGGGCTGCTGCCGCCCTGCCTCGCGTGGCACCAGCCCCACGTGTGGCCGCTGGGCCGCATCTAGCCCCTCCCGCCGTCCCTGCCACTCGAGCGGTCGCTCCTGCGGCTGCGCCTGCAGCTCTGGCGTTAGCAGCGGTCGCTTTAGAGCTGGATGGGGAGAGGCATGGGGAGAGGCATGGGGAGAGGCATGGGGAGAGGCATGGAGAAATGCATGGGGAGATGCATTGGGAGATGCATGGGGAGATGCATGGGGAGATGCATGGGGAGATGCATAAGGAGTGGCAGGAGGAGAGGCATGGGGAGAGGCATGAGGAGAGGCAGGAGGAGTGGCGCGGGGAGAGGCGCGAGGAGAGGAGAGAGGCAGATGTGGGGAGAGGCAGGGCAGGGCGGGTTAGGAGCAGTGAAACCCCGATGGAGGCGGAGGGGCCAGCAGGCCCCACTGCAGCAACTCCATCCCAGATGATGCCGACACACACTGTGCTGCCGGCTCTCGTGATGCCGAGACACAGTGTGCTGCCGACACACATGATGCCGAAACTCGGCGCGCTGCCGAGTGGCAGTGCTCCAGCGCATGGTGTGAGCGGTTTGGATGCTCATGGCGATGGAGATGGAGATGGAGATGGAGATGCTCTCAGTGCACTGCGCTCACTGCCTCCTCCTGCTGCTCCTCTGCTGCCCAAGCCAGAGCACGCATGCAGGGAGGAGGAGGGCGGTGGGGAGCGGTGTGTGACTGTGGACACCCAACTCATAACGGACCTCATAGCACAGCCGGCCAAGAAGACACGAGGGCAGCGCCACCAATGGCAGCAGCCTGCCCGGCGCTCCGTCAACCTCGGAGTTGCTGCCGCTACTGCTGCTCCTGTTCCCCCACCAGCAGGAGCAGCAGGAGCAGCAGCAGCAGCAGCAGCAGCAGCATAAAAGCAGCAGGGGCAGGTGCAGAGGCAGTGGCTGCTCTAGCCTAAGGAGAAGCAGAGTCAGCTGCCTCTGCCCTCCAATCCGTGGAGCCTCGAGAGCCAGTAGGACTCGCAACAGTGATTTTTAAGGGAGGGCGCGGGGGGAAGGGAGGGGGCAGGCCGGTGCTTTCTGGAAATGGGGCAGCAGCAGGAGAAGGGGGCTGTGGGGCGGAAGGGCCGTGGCGGGTTGGTGTACGGTGGAGTGGGGGAGCAGAAAGACAGGCTATTGGGGGGTTAGTGGGAGGGGATGGAGAAGCGGGAGAGGAGCCTTAGAGATGGAGGAGTGGGAAATGGAGGCAGAGGAGGTGGAGATAGAAGGGTCAACAGCAAGTCCAACAGCAGAAGCAGCAGTTTTGAGAATTTGCTCAAAAGTGACAACAGCAAGTCCAACAGCAGAAGCAGCAGTTTTGAGACTTCTCAAAAGTGACATCAGCAAGTCCAACAGCAGAAGCAGCAACAGGGTGGTGCGGCGGTACAGAGTGACGGTTGCCACGGGTTGACCGGCTGCAGCAGCTAGATAACTCTGCAGCGTTGCTTGCAATCATAAAAAGCGTGGCCAGGGCCATAGGTTGTGGTGCAGTGATAGCAGAGGAGTTGGATGGGTGTGTGGGCAGCAAGGGGCGATTGAGAGAGCTGGGGGAGCTGGGGGAGCTGTCTCCCTGGACGCTGCTTGCTCTGCTGCTGCGGCCGCTGGTGGTGGCAGTGAGGCGATGGCTGCATGAGCAGAGGCTGCTGCTGTGGGTGGCCTTGGCGCTGTGCTGTGTTGCTGTGGGCGTGCTTCTGGCACCTGCATCGCATGTTTTGCGTCTCTTTGTTGCCATTTTACGGTAGGTGAACATCAGACAGGCGGGTTGATTGATTTGAAAGCTGCAAAAATTGCGGCACTGGTGGCAGGTAATCGGCCACCATTAGGAATGAGTTGCCTTTGCAAATAATAACATTTTCCATTGTACGGCTCCAGAACTGGAGATACAAAAGATAAACCTCTTGAATAGCTCCAGGCTGGCCTCTCGTTATCAGGGTAAAATACCCTTTTTGCACTGACTGGCGGCCGCTTTTTTTCAGTTACCCTTTCACAGGCAGGGTAGTGGATTTTTTACCCTAGGCCAGAAAGTGTAAGTTTTTCAAGAAAAACAGCGTAAGGAACACATTTGTCTGACTGTACAGTGTACAATCCCCTTAGTTCGGATACCGAATGCTCCGTAGCGAGACAAGCACTGTACAGGTCCCTGCAAAATGGCCCCTACGGCGAGACTCGGGCCTGCGACCTTCCAGATCAAACTCGAATTCGACAAACTGAACGACTACTTGATCTCTTTTAGGGTTCGTTCCTGGCGCGTGTCAAGCTTTCGGTCATCCGCGGATGACCGGAAGTTAGACCCACTTTGGGTCATCCGAGACCAACTTCGGGTCTTCCGGCCAAAAATTGCCCCTGTTTCCGGAAAACACAAAGTTTGACAGGAACGCACCCTTAGAATCCTTTATACAGGTTCTAAAAAAGAACCCTTCCAATCAGACTTACAATTTGTTTACCCTGCATTTGTCAGGGAAACAAAAATTTTACCCTAAGCATCAGGGTTGGCTATACCTAGAACCCGAATACTAAGGGTGGCCCAAAACGAATCTGAAGCCCTGGCTCCAGCAATAAATGCATAATGTTGTTCAACATCTACCGTATAATGTTCGTGCGCTGCTACACCGAATTATTAACCTTTAACATGCATTGTGTTTTAAAATGTTGGCTTACTCAACTTTCCGCTGGAGTAGGTTTCCTTCCATCCAGGTAGGAAATTTTTCCTAGAGGTGAGTCACCCTTGACCAGGGCTTATAATAACAGGGTAAAATACTGCACTAGCCAACCACAGTTAGGAGATGGAAACGGTGCTGGACAAGATTAAGAGAGGTTGCTTGCTTGCGGTCGT